CCCACCAATCATCTTAAGATATAGCTTTTAGTCCCTAGCCTGTACTAATCTAGTTTGTCAAGGCATTCTGTAAAATCTGGCACCCAGAATTGATCCAACCATTTTGAAAAAAAATTTCTAATTATTCCAGAAAAGTCATTACACTAATCACTAACTTTTGTCCCTACAAGTACCCCAAAGTGGTTAAAAAAATAGAAAGATCCCATATTTATGAAAATATCTGTACCAGCACTTTGTGTGATAACAAAAATTTAAGAAAGAAAAGCAAAAAAAGTGGGAATCCAATGATTGGGAAATGGCTGAACAAACTTTAGTGTGTGGATCTAATATATGATTGTTCCATAGAAATGATAAATATGAAAAATTCAGAAAATTGACAACCTCATTTGAACCGATGAAGAATGAAATAAGCAGAACTAGGAAAACAATATAAGTAACAAGTTCAATAATGTAAATAAAAACAACACTAAAGGGCAGCTAAAGTCAAATTAATTGCAGTAACCAATCTTGGTCCTCACAAAGAAATGATGAAACCCCCTCCTCTCTTTTTACTAGAAAGGTAGTGGACATGCTGATATGAAATGTTGCAGATGCCCTCAGAGTGACTACTTTGTCAGTTTTGCTTTCTCTTCCTCTCTGTTAAAAGAGGCTGGGGGTTCAGTAGTAGGCCATCACCAATATTGGGAAATATTCATGGTATAGGGTATGTAAATGTAAAGCCTATATCAGATTGTGCGCCGTGTTGGGGAGGGTGGGGGAGAGGAAAAGGGAGAAAAATTTTCAACTCAAAAGTATATGGAAAAAATTAAAAAATTTAAATTAAAAAAAAAAAGAAATAGTCATGGTATAAAAGAAAAAGAGTAGGTGACTAGACCTGTGATTTCCTTGTTATAAGGGAACTTCCAAATGAACAAGCTCTCTCTATCAGTGCAGACTTCCTTCTCTGCAGTTTATGATCAGAGAGTTGTTTGAGAGTTTAATTGCTTGCTTAGGGTGACACAACCAGTGTCAGAGGGGACACAAACCGAGATCATCTTAATTTTGGGACTAGCTCTCTGTCTACCATAGTGTGTGTGTGTGTGTGTGTGTGTGTGTGTGTGTGTGTGTGTGATGTTGTCACCCAGGACCAGGTATAATAATCCAGCTCTCTCATGCAATGGCAAACACAATGCATCTTACATGATTTGATTCCTGATAGTCTTATTAGACATGGGACAACGCACAAGTTCCTTAGGGCAGTACACTACTGTATCTTTGAGGAGCTTTCTTCCTCTAAATCCTATGAGACTGTGTGATCTAACTCATAACTTAGTGGTCTAGAAAACACACATAGCCATCCAGTCATACTAAAGCAGACGTCAGCAGAAGACAACACAGAGCTAGACTTGGCGAGGCAGTATGCACCTAAGCTGTCAATGAGGACACAGGTAGTGAGTGCTATGGGGAATCTACCACAGATGAGTGAAGCCATGGTCTCAGTGCCGAGGATACAAAGCAATAGAAAGCCTGGCAACAACCTCAAGTTATCCTTCTCTTCCTGTGAAGACTTGGTCTTGGGGTCAAGAGACCCAGATAGGAAGCCTAGGTCTAATAAGCAGAGCCACAACCTAGATATTGAGAACAGAGTTTTGCCCCAAAGCACAAAACTATAGATAGATCCTGATAGTACTTAGGCTTCCAGAGACTATAGTATCTCAGCTTAGCACCAAGTTAGCAAGAATAAATAGTTAAAATAGGAAGTTCTAGATTTTTTTTTTCCTTTCTATCTCCTAGATCAGCTTCTCCCCATTCTACACTGTATTGGCTTCCCCAACAGTGTCCTGGGGTTTCTGTTTCCCTCCTTTGGAATGGTCTTCTCCAATTCCCAACTGAATGTATCTTGTGAAAGAACGGGTTAAGGGGACATTGCATTTTACTTTTCCATGGCATGTTTTATGAAGCTTTCCTGGGTGCCAAAATTGCAAATTATAGCTCTTTGGACACTTATTAGCAGTGTGACATTGAGTAAGCAATTTCACCTTACTAAGTTTTAGATTACTCATCTATTAAATTAAGGCAATGGGATAATTGTTAATGGCCCTTTCAGCTTTGAAATGCTATGATTCCATATCCAAGATCACTTGCTGTCTCTTAAGCCAACAGGAATTTATTAAAGACCTCCTATGTGCCAGGCATTGTGCTACAGACTGGGGATGCAGATAAAATGAAAAGACAGTCATTGTCCTTGTGGAGCTCAAGGTCTATTTGCACCACTCACTTAGCACTTAAAATTGTAATGATTTACATTTAGGGGCAAAGTATTACAGAATGGAGAGATGACCTCAGAGTCAGAAAGACTGGAACAGTGAGTTTTCAAGATTACAGAGTATTGGGGTAGGGAATAATGTGTCGGAAGATGGGGAAGGTATGAAGAGACCAGGTTGTGAAGAGTTTTAATTGATAAATGGAAGAGTTTAATTTTGATCTTCCAATATACTTTGGAATCCCAAGAGTTTGTTCAATAAGAAAGTGTCATCATCAGGCCTTCATCCTAGGAAAATTACTCTAGTGGCTGTGTAGATTAGGGATTGGAGTGGGAAGAGGCAAGGAGATCACTTAGGAAGTAATTGCAGGAGTCCAAGTAAGAGCTGATGATGGCCTGTACCAGTGTAGTGGCTAAATGAGAAGAGAGGGAGAGATTTTTGCAAGAAATGTTGGAGAGACAGAAGCAACAACTTTTGGCAACTGATTGGATATGTGAGGTGAGCGAGTAGGAAATTGAGGCTGTTACCAAGATTAGGTACCCGAGTAACTGGGAGGATGATGGTAGCCTTGACAAGACAGGCAAGTTAGGCAAGAAAGGCAGCTATCTAAAATTGAACATGTAAGGGATACTTTTTTAAATATGATTTCTAATATATGTGTATATTTGTCATGTAAAAGAATTTGAATCTCTGTGGTATCTAGGGCATGATTAAGCCAAGTATGTATTACCTTGAAGGCACAAAGTCTCCAAAGGAGAATACTACAGAGGGTAAAATTTACAAGCCTGTTGTAGGAATATAAACTCCTCCCCCTAAATTTGATTACCTATTGAGAGTGATTCCAGATAGATGAAGTGGATGAAAGATGAAATAACTGAGGAAACAAAGATTCGAGCTTCTGAGAATACTGATTTATTTTGCAATGTATGCCAATTTCGAAACAAATTAGGGCCAAATCGTTTTAGCTTAAGACTGGACCCTGAGTACAGGGAGAGATAGATTTTTATGCATTAAAAACAATCAAATAAGACCACTTAACTAAAAGAAAATAATTATCCAGGATACAAAATCCGGTAATCTGATTCCTAATTAGAGGAAAGATTAGAGATTTTTCCAAATTGGGAGGAGGAGAGAGAACAAGTGAAATTCCCCGAAATCATAAAAATTGGTGTCCCACTCCCCCAAAGAATCTGTATTCAATTAAAGGAACATGAAAACAATAACCGATTGACTAGTATGAGGCCAGTTTTCGAATAAGATATGTGGGTTACTTGAGATATATAGTAATGAGAAAACTCCTCATATAATTCTTTGGATCTGACTGGGTTTCTGGTCAGCATAACTTAGGTCCTTAGTTAAGGGTATCTCAGCAGTAGGTAGAGGTGGTCCAGCTTCTCAGCTATTCAGGGCTAGGTTCAAGCAACACAATAAGGTCTTCTTACAATTCCCACAATTGAATAAGGTTTTCTCACAAGACAAAAATTGGACTAGATCTATAATTGAATAGAAAGGGAACTGAGCCTTTCCAGGTTTTTTCTGAAAGCATCCTGCTCATCATTTTTTAATAATACAATTGTGCTATAAGAAATGATGAACAAGGATGCTTTCAGAAAACCTGGAAAGACTTAAATGAACTGATGCAAAGTGAAGTGAGCAGAACCAGGAGAATATTGCTCACAATGACAGCAATATTGTATGATGATTAACTGTGAATGACCTAGCTATTCTCAGCAATATAATGCTCCAAAATAATTCTGAAGGACTTATGATGAAAAACACCATGCACCTTCGAGAAAGAAATGACAGAGTCTGAAATGCAGATCAAAGCATACTTTTTAAACTTTATTTTTCTTGGGTTTTATTTTTTGGCCTGCATTTTCTTTCACAATATGACTAATATGGAGAAATGTTTTGCCTGACTGCACGTGTACAATCTATGTCAAATTGCTTGCCTTCTCATTGAGGGAGGACAGGAGGGAAGGAGAGAATTTGGAACTCAAAAACTTTTAAAAATGAATCTTAAAATTGTTTTTACATGTAATTGGAAAAATAAAATACTTGGAAAAAAAGAAAAAGAAAAGGAACTGAGCTAGCTGCAGAATTGAGTCACAAAATGGAGTCAGTGTGGTTCACTCAATTCCCACTTGCTTTTCTAATCCCCTCAAAGGAGAGGCATCAGGGAAAGGTTCGTGAAGGAGGTGGCATTTAGCTAGAACTTGAAACACAAATGGGGTCTCAGCTCAGCCAGCTGAGATAAGAGAGTGTTTCAGATATAGGGAATGATGAAAGAAAAGACCAAGAAGCAGGAAAGAGAAGGAATTATTCACGTTTTGATGAATAGTTTAGTAAAATCTCAGAATTTAGACATAAGAAGAATCTGGGAGATCATCTTTTCTGAATCCTTTATTCTCAAATTGAGGACACCAAGATTTGAACAGGAGAAGTGCCTTGCTGAAGATCGTACAGATTGTAACAGAGTTGGGTCCAAACCTAGGTCCTCTGGCTACAAATTCAATGTTCTTTGCATGACACTTCATTGCCTGTTTTGTCTGGTTGGGTTGATCAAGGAGGAAGAAGAGAAAGAGAGGGAGAAAGCTGAGAAGGTAGATGGGAGCCAAGTTTTGTAGAGCCTTGAATGCCAGGTTAAGGAGTTTGCATATTATTTGGGAGAAAATAAGGATTCATTGAAGGTGATTAATAGGGGAGATGTGGTCTATATGATTCAATATAGCTTGATTCTATGCATTTTTCCCCTAGGGCTGTGGCTGGAGTAGATGGGGAACCAGATTTGGTTCATATGGAAATCCAAGATCTCAGTGGAGGTAAGTTATTTAAGAAGCCAGTGATCAAACCACATTTTTTCAGAGTCATAGTAATAGTAGTAGTAGAAATAATCATTCACATTTCACATATTTACAATGTGCTTTCCAAACAATGCAAGGTAAGCAGTCAACATCTGTATAACTTGTGAGAGTTTGCAAAGCACTTCCATAATCTCATTTCAGAGCTGGAAGGGTTAGCTAAAGGGTTAGTTATCAGAGCCAATATCCAAAACATATCTCCACAAGATGGGATGTTAAGCCAAAACTAATATGACAGAATTTATTATGAGTGAGTGTAAAGTCTTACGCTTGGATTCCAAGAATCAACTTCACAAGGGTAAGATATGTGGGGAGAGTATAGTCAGGCAGCAGTTCATCTTGAAAAAGATAACAAGATGAGTCAACAATGTATTATGGCAGCCCCCAAAAAGCTAATACATATAATGTTAGGCTTATTAAGAGAAGTATAGTAACCAGGACTAGGGAGCTGATGACCCTGATGTATTCTGCCTTGGTCAGCCCACATTTCAGGTATCATGATAAATTCTGGTTGCCACATTTTAGGAACAATATTGATTATTTTGAACTTGTCCAAAAGACTGTAACCCATACCACACCATATGTAGAGCCTTTAGTCTGTAGAGAAGGTATCTTAGGGTAGATATGAGAACAGTCAGGAAATATTTCAGATGCAATAGCCTGGAAGATGATTTGACAGATTGTTCTTTTGGACTCCACAGGACAGAACTAAAAGCAATGAATGGAAGTTTTAGAGGAAATTTTAGCCTTGATGTAAGACAGAACTTCTAACAACTACAGCTGTCCCAAAGTAGAATGATCTTCCTTGAGAGGAAGTGGGTCCTCCTTCACTAGGGATCTCCAAGAAGGGGGATGATGACCAATGATTGACTTCTGAGGTCCCTTCCAATACTGAGAATCTTAAGTTTATAGGATCTCCTCCAAGACTGTATGACAGAAGCAGTACAGGATATAATTATCTCAACTTTACAGATGAAATTGCTGCTCATAGATGCCATAAGAATGTAGGATTTGGATATCATTGAGCTCAAGCCCTCCATTGTAAGTATGAAGAAATAGGAGGCCAGAGAGGAGAAGCAATTTTCCCAAGGCCACCAGACAGTAGGGGACAATGCTTAGATATGACTCCTAGGTCCTCAGACTCCCAATCTAGTATTCTTTTGATCGAATCATGCTTCTTCCTGTGATAAGCCTCGCATTCATTTCCACTGCCCACAGCAAGAAAATGTTATACCAGATTCCTTGAAGTCAGCCTATGCATATAGCTAAACTGACTGGGCTGGGTAGAAATGTGGTAGAATTGAAAGTTTACTTGTTTTCCAACAGGAGATAAATTGAAGTCAAGAAGCTATGGTCCAATGAAAAAAGCTATTAATAGTACAATTTGTTCTGGCACTTAAACATTGGACGTTTTTCCTGCTCTGTGCATACAGCTGCCAGTTTATCTATGGTGTGGGAAGAGAATCTGTTAGAATGAATATCCACATATGTCAGTTGTTCTGAGCTCCCAGAAACCCTTCCTGCTCCAGATTCAGCACAGTTTCCCTTCATACCATTTGAAGATTAGAAAGCAAGATAAGGGCATGTGAACCTGGAATTATAATGAGAATTGTCCTCTGAGATTCCTTCTCCATTCCTGAATATGATGATAACAGGAATCATAGCTCACATTTCTACCGGGCTTGGCAATTTTTATCACCCCGATTTCACAAATAGGGAAACGGAGCTTGGGCCATGATCAGACAGAAAATACTTGTGGTAGCATGGGGCCTTGAAAGGAAATCTGACCTATGTGTGAGGGAGTGTGTTTGGTGCTGGGGAGAGACATGCTTTGTATTACAAACCTGGTGATCTCACAGTATGGAATTAATACCAGATAGCACTTTAAGGCATGAAAAACACTATAATGTTGTCTCTTATTTGATCCTCAGCAACTTCCTTAGGTAGATGCAATTATTATCCCCATTTTAGAGGTAAGGAAACTGAGGCTGAGGAAGGTTGAATGCTCAGCCCAGGGCTATTAAGCTAATCAGTATCTGAGTAAGGAATTGAACTTAAGTCTTCCTAACTCCAAGCTCAGTGCTCTTTTCTCTGTGCTAACCAGCTGCCTCTGGGGAAAGGGGGGTTAACTCACAAACACCATCTCTTAAAGGATTGCTTGAGGAAATACTCCAGTGAAAATTTTGTAATTGTTCAGCTTTTCAGTCGTGTCCAACTCTTGTGACCCTTTATAGGGTTTTCTTGGCAAAGATACCACAGCGCTTTGCCATTTCCTTCTCCAGCCCATTTTGGGCAAACAAGATGAAATGTCTTTCTCAGGGTCACACATATTTGAGGTCACATTTGAACTCAGGTCTTCCTGACTCCAGGCCTAGTATACTGAGCCACCTAGCTGCCTTCAATGAAATCATAGACTTTAAAAAAAATGGTTGCTCTATTCCTCTGTTGCCTTGACCAGTACAAATCACAGCTTCCTCCTAATTTTACAGAAGAGGAAACTGAGGCTCAGATGTAATGAAGAGTGTTTATAAATGTAATAAAATGAATTTTATTCTATAGTAAGAAAATGAGCCCTATAGTTGAAAGGTAGCTGCTAAGGATTGAGATACATGGATACAGAAAGAATCTAGGGTTCTGTCAGCTTGGGGAACTCTTGGTGTGGGAATTTCTTCTACCAATGTGGATTGTAACTCTTCTATGACTTAGTGAATAAGTCTTTGGAAGATGTTTGAATGACACAGTGACTGTATGATGGGTATAATAATAATAGCACCCACCTCCCAAGGTTGTTGTGAGGATCAAATGAGATCTTTGTCAAGTGCTCGCTATAGTGCCTGGCATGTTGTCAGGGTTTAATAAAGATTTGTTTCCTTCTTTCCTCCTTTTTTCTTCCTCCTTCCTCCTTCCTCTTTCCTCCACCTTCTTCCTGTATTGCTATCTCTCCTCTCAAATCAACCTTCTCTTATAATGAACTTCTCATTAATGAACTCATCTGGTCCTTGAACTACAGATAATCTATTGCTGTACCTTTCTTTCCTCCATCCTTCCCTGTTGCCAACTTGGTAGGACCTTCCCGGGCTTGTGAATAGCCTTTGAGGCCCCAGGGTTGCTTTCATTGCCACAATGAGGACTCATGGGGGGACTTGTGTATGGAGGGGGAAGTAGTCAAAATAAACTAGATGAGAGAGAGAAATCTCCAAATGCACCCCAGAATGATTTTAGATCCAAACCTGAATCTTTGAGAATTTCCATTTTATTTAGAGCTTTTGAGTTGCAACTTCCCAAATGATACATCTAGGAAAAAAGACTCATTAGCAGTGCTGATTTACCAGCAATCCCTTGCCAGAGAATTCAGTTGATGAGTCAAAAACCTAAGGATTCAATTTCCCTTGGGAAACAGAATGGTTTAAATATAAAAGGAACAGATGTCTGGTAAAATATGTTTGTGGTTTTGCTCAACCATAAATATTTGAAAAATAGTTCAAGCATTTTCCCTAAAGCAAAACACTTCCAGTTTCTTTCATGCTTATATATGTATGTTTTTGGAATGGCTAGCATTGTTCTTTAGTATACAGCAAGCAACTTATCTCCTGGAAGAGATATCCACTTTCTTGAGGCCTAATTTTACTGAAGTCAAACTTAGGAAGCAGCTTAGGTCTTAGTTTGAATAACATTTTTTTTTCTAAAATTTTTGCTCATTCATTCATTCATTCAAACAGTATTTATAAGTCCCGACCATGCACAGTTGAACTAGTCATGGTGGTTGGGAAGGGGGCTGGGAATCCTTCAATCCAAGAAACTTAATAGGAAAGATATTACATATATGTGAAATTACTAAATATTTGCAATATTCAACAAATATGATGCTTGAGACTTTAAACCTTGGACCTGAATGACTATTTCTACAGTATTGGTGGGGAAAGCATAATTTAGTGTTATCAGCCTAACTAGTTTGTTTTACCTTCCCTTTTTGATTCCATAAAATGTCCCAGTTTTCACCTCTCTCTTTCTCCAGGTAAAATTCTACTTTCCTTTTGATTATGGTTCTCTGACTTCCAAATATATAAATACATAAACCCAGCACGGGTTATCAAAATGATGTTGCTTCTCTGAGGAGATATCCTCTATGAGTGAGAAGTTTCTGCTAGACCCAATCAGGCATACACTTGGTCATTAGCATCTGGGACTAGATATTACTGGGGCTCTGCCCATTTGTAATCTGAAGAGCTCAGTCTGGTCTCTGTGTTCCTTCACAGTAGCCATAGATAAGTAGAGTCCAAAAGAATCTCCTTTCAGAGATCTCTACTGTCCTGGAAAAAAAACAGCCATTAAAATATTACTTGGGGGCTCAGATATCCTGAGAGGATATCTCAAGGAGAAGCATTAACTCACATGAAAAGATGGTAAAAGAGGAAACCACTCTCCATGCAAAATATCCCTGAAGTCCAATGCCTTCTTCCTGCCTGTCACCTCTGTGTTTCCCAAGCAAGAAGCTATTTTAAGATCATAGGACTATAATAGAGTTAGAAGGGACCTCAGAGGACACAGAGTCTAATACTCTTCATTTTACATATGAGGAAACTGAGGCCCAGGAAATGTAAAGAAAAAAAAAAGGAAGAAAAGTCAGCCATTCTCTTCCCCAGTCTCTCCTGGCACCACCACCAACATTGATTAAGTCACCACTTGAAGGTCCTTGAAGAACTTAAGTGACTTTTCCAAGGTCACACAGGTAGTAAGCTTCAGAGGGAGAATTCAGACCCAGGCCATTGACTTCAAAACTAGTGCTCCTTCTACTCTTCCACACTACCGGTATCATAAGAACCTGTCTGCTCTTTGTGTTTTAAGTTTCCCTTAGTAATATTCACAGTGCAAACAACTATATACGCCACTGACCTCTGCTACTCTGCTTGAGTGCCCCCCACACTGCTTGCTGACGCCTGTCTTTATATTGAAAATGTCCTGTGATGATGCCCTCACAGTGCTTGTGTGTGTGTGTGTGTGTGTGTGTGTGTGTGTGTGTGCGCGCTCACGCGCGCGTGCATGTGTGTATGTGTTTCGGGATACCAGTCCTGGCTTCACTGCCAATAACTTTGTTTCCTTAAGTTGTTGACACAAACTCTTAGTTATTTTTTTCAAGGATTTTCCTAGGTAAAATGAATGAATGAAGTTTTAAAATAGGATTGGGATAAGGACGGGACCTATGATTTCATGGATATAGGAAATTCTGAGATGAGAAAATTCCCTCTACTTTTTAACCAATTCACATCAAAATTTTCTCTGAAACTTTAGAGCTACTTAGAGAACTGAGTTCAGGGGTCACAAAACCATCCTCTGTCACCAACAGGACTTGTTCTCTCTCTGTCTCTGTCTCTCTCTGTCTCTGTCTCTCTTTGTCTCTCTGTTTCTCTCTCTGTATCTCTTTGTGACTCTGTCTGTCTGTCTGTCTCTCTCTCTCTCTCTCTCTCTTTCTCTCACACACACACACACACACACATTCTCTCTTTATCTTTCTCCTTTTTATTTAACAATTGAAGATCTGACAAGCAAGCATCTTGCTTGAAAAAAATTGGGGGGGGCAGTTAGGCGGCACAGTAGATAGAGAACTGGCCCTGAAGTCAGGAGGACCTGAGTTCAAATCCTGTCTCAGACCAAACACTTGACATTTACTAGCTGTGTGACCCTGGGCAAGTCACTTAACCCCAATTGCCTAAAAAAAAAAGTGAAAAGAATCTGTTTAGAACAAAGAGTAGATCAAAGGTCCAGTTTTCACTGTATATGTGTGAATAATGATACCTCTAGTACAGTCAGTGCTTTGGGTTAGAGAAAGAGCCAGTGTTCTTGAAGGACCAGCTGTACACAAGAGAAGACTATACTTTATCATATGATTCAGGTGATGAATTTAATTTTGCAAAGTAAAGCTTATTTCCTAAAAAAAGCAAATAATTTCCATACTCTTCACTGAGCACTTAGCAGCTCTCTACTGCTCTTATCATGTGCCATTGGACGTTATTGCTGTCTCTCTCTAGACCATAAGCACCTTCAGGTCAGGGACTATGTTTTATATACACTTTGTCTCTCACACATTACTTTGCACACAGTGCCAATTAAGAAATTTGTGTCAATTTTGTTGCCATGGCTACTACCTTCCTGACAGAGATCACCTGCCCCCCTATGCTTTTGTAGACAATTTTCTTGAATTTCTGTGGCTAAAAGTATCTCATCCTCGTCCCTGGAGCAATGAAGCTTTCCAAACTTCTTTAAGCTCACTTTGGGGTGACAGTGGTTGTTTTTTCCATACTCAATTCAGCAAAATTAGTTAAGCTCTACATTCAGGGGACTGTGCTATGCATTGAGAATACAACATTTAAAATGGCAAGTCCTCTTCCACAAGAGGGTTGGGAGGGAAGAGCTGGTAGAGAGAAATAATCTGATAGGACCTGCTTGAGCTTATACTCTAAAGGCAGACACTTTAAGAAACTAGGGTCCACTATACAACATCATGAAATATCACAAGAGAATTTTAGTTTAAAAACTGGATGTTGGTCCATAAACATTTGTTAAGCAAAATGCTATAAGCACTGTGCTAAGTGCTAGGAATACAAATAAAAAAAAAACAGTCCTTACCCTCAAGGAGCTTCCAATCTAATGGAAGAAGACCACATACAAAAGAAAGGTGAAAGGGGAGTGAGGAAGGAGAGGTAAAAAAGCATTAATGGTGAAGTATAGTCCAACGAGAGGGAAGCTAGGTAAACAGAGCACTTGGTTTGGAATCAGGGAGATTTATCTTCATGGGTTCAAATCTGGCCTCAGACACTCACTAGCTTAGTGACCCAGGGCAAGTCATTTAACTCTGTTTGCCTCAGTGCCTGGTCTATAAAGTGAACTGGAGAAGGAAATGGCAAACCACTCTAGTATCTTTGCCAAGAAAAGCCAAAACGGGGTCATGAAGAGTTGGACATGACTGAAACAACTGAACAACACCAACAAACCATCCAAGAAATCAGCCGGTTCAAAATGAAGCTCTCTCTAAGGGGAGGCTTTGAGAGGAATTCTTTGCTCTTCTCTCCAGCAATACAATAAAAGGGGCAGAAGATGCCGAACGTACTAATGAGGTCAGAGCACTAACCTCACAAGTTGATAAGTTTCTTTGTGACAAGATTTCCTGTGAGCATGATTATGGCAGAGCTTAGTCCAAGGAGGACAATTAGTCGGAAATTAAGTTGATGGCCTAGGAGCCCTTTGGGAGGAGTTCTTTGCTCAAGCCTCCAGCCCTTCGATCAGAGGAGCAGAGAGTACTGATGAGATGGGAATACCAACGTTGATGCTTTGGTGGTGGGCACTCATCACGATGAGGTTCATGAATGGTACTTGACACGGCAGACTGTTATCTAACATAGCTGTTTCCTTCACCAATAAGAGCAGTAAAATGTTGGTTTTCATTTGAGTTTACTTTACAAGAATAGATTTTGGTCATTGTTCTCCCCAGGTTTCCGATATGTCACCTGTCAGTCTCAGAATTGCTCTGATAGAACACCCACGATTCCATTTGCCAGCAGCATTGACCACAATTCCTTGACTGTGCAGGACGACTACATATTCTTTAAGGTAAATGCAAATTAATTCCCACATGTGTTCAACTGAAGGAATGTGACATTCTGAACCTATAAAAGGGAGGCAGATGAGGACCCTATGAAATGCTGTTTCTTCTGTGAGAAAATACTGAAAGTTAACTTTGTAATTCAATTCAGAAGTAAACCACATCAATGGTATATCTTTCTAGAGAGTTTTAGCATTCCAAAAGCACTTTAGCTGCATTATCCCATTTGATGGAAAACAAACTTACAAGCTTAAAGAAGAGGAAGGAAAGGAAATAAGCATTTATCTAGTACCAGTCACTATGCTAAGCGCTTCAAAAATACTGTCTCCCTTGATCCTCACAACAACCCTGGGAGATAGGTATAATGATGATCACCACTTCACAGTTGAGAAAAATGAGTCAAACCTAGGTTGGATGACTTGCTCAGGATAACACAGCTAGGAAAGTATCTGAGGTCAAATCTGAACTCAGGTCTACCTGACTCCAAGCCCAGCCCTTTTTCCACTGGGCTGCAAGCACTGTTGTTCCCATTTTGCAGATGAGGAAGATTCAGAGGAGCAGAGACCAGAAGTACTCAGACCCTATGTGAGGCTTTTCTTGGTGCCCCCAACTCTCTTCTTGAAACTACCTTGTGTTACTTTGTATATACTTATCTGGGTGCATAGTTTATCTCTGCAGTAGAATGTAAGTTCCTTGAGGGCAGAGACTATTCTTTGTATAGCCTACACGCAGTAAATATGTAAATAAAAAAGTTTATTGAATTGAACTTCCCTTATTTAGAGTCCTATAGCTCCTAAGCAGCAGAAATAGAATTAGAATCTTGGCTTTCTTTATGAAGATTCCCCAGGATCTCAGAAACTTGGAGTTGGAAGGGATGTAGGAGCTTACATAATCCAAACCATAGCTAAGCAGAAATCCAGTCTCCATGACAGCCCTAACCATACTGATGGAAAGCAATTGTGCCCTTAAGACTTCTCTTCTACAAGTTCAACATTGCCATAGGGCATATTCTCTGGGACTCTCATCATCATCCTAGTCACCTCCCTCTGGACTAGGAGTTCTTGACCTTTTTTATATATCGTGAAATCTTTGGGCAGTCTGATGAAGCCTATGAAGCCATTTTCAGAATAATTTTAAATGCATAAATTAAAATACTTGGATTAGAGTGGGAAAATATATTTAAATATAGCTATCAAAATATTTTTTAAAAAGTTCACAGACCCCACATGAAGAACTCTGGCAGTCTGTAAACCCTCCAGTTCATTAATGACCTTTTAAAAATATGGCTCCCAGAACTCAAGGCAATACACCATATTTGTTCTAACCAGTACTCTTGCCTCTATGCCACAACAGCTCTTAGAGTTTTCTAAAGATTATATCCATTTGCTCTGCTATTACCATCACCTCCCAAGCATCTCAATTTTGTTGTTGTTGGTGGTGGTGGTGGTGACAATTTAGTTATTTGTTTGTTCATTCATTCATTCATTCATTCATTCATTCATTCATTCAAGCATGATGGCCAGGTAGAACTCATTCAGAGCCTAGCTAAGAAAGAAGCAAGAATCATCTTCTTCCATAGCTAGTTTGCTTGATGAGGATTAGGAAATGAGTGCAGCCCAAAGACATCCACACCCATTTTCTTAGGAACAATGTTCTGGGTGTCCACATGGCAGGAACCACTTCTCACCATGAACAAACTGTGAAATGGATTTAGAAATAAATTTCCTAGAGAAAATCATCCCTTATGAGCTTTGCCTTGTATTGTTTGGAGGTGACATTGTTTATAACTCCCCAACAGATACAATTCAGATCTATTTCACAGCTAGTGTATGGTGAGAAGTGGTTCTCCCTGTGTGAGCTTCCCGACTGCCAAACTTAGCAAAATGGGTGATGCCTTTGACAGGGCAGAATCCAAAATGTGTTAGCACATCCTGAAGATCGAGGAGAGGTAATTGACCTGCTTTGATTTCAGATTTGAGTATGAAAAATATGTAACATTTATTATAGATGGATGTTGACATAGAGAAACACAGACTGTGTGTGAGTATAACCAGAGAAACGAGCAGTCTTCTTGCCTTGTACATTTGTGTATTTCTGAGCTGTGGCGAAGGGGACATTGAGCTGTCCTACTGTATTTTGACACCTCCAGGGATATTTCCCATGATTCTTTCTGAACATACTATAGGTTATTTAAGTTTATTGATAACAGAAAATGCAATATAAGGAAATAGTTCCTAACGATTAGAGTTGTGCATAATTGGAATGTGGGCTGTTCCCAGAAGTAGAGCCTCTTATCTCTGGATGTTTTCAATTAGAGGCAGGATAATCACTCTTTTGTTATGTCACAATCAATCAAATCAGTCAATCAGCAAGCATTTATTAAGTGCTTATTCTGCGTAAGGCACTGTGCTGGCAAAACAGTCTTTGCCCCCAAGGAGCACACTTTCTGAAGGCAGAGATATGAATAAGGGATTTGAGTAACTAGATAATTTCAAAATTGCCTTTCTATTCAATCCAACGGGACTCTGGGATTCTTTGATGTCATTGAGGTCCAAAAGAACAAAGCAGGTAAAGACTGTTTCATCAACTTGCATCTGTGTATGTGTGAATAGTTAGATAGATAGATAGTAGATAGATAGATAGATAGATAGATAGATAGATAGATAGATAGATAGATAGATGGATGGATAGATGAATATACATATATAGTTGCCCTTCCTTTTAATAGCAATAATAATAATAATAATGTTATTGATTCACTTTTTATTATGCTTTATGAGACACAAATCTCTTCCTTCAAAGCCCAGAATTCATTTAAAAGAATTCTGGGCTTTAACTCAGGAGGCCTTGATATACACAACAGTTTTGGCAATGAATATGTAACCATGGGTTAGTTGATTAATAATAATAACCTTTATTAATAATTAATTTCATGATTATGATATTAATTTTAAATAATTTTAGTAAATGATTAATTAATAATAATGATAACTTTTTGTGCCTTCGTTTCATTGAGTGTAAAATAGATGTAAACAATATTTGTACTCTCTACCTTAGAGGACTACAAATAGCGAAAACTCTTTATAAACCTTAAGGTGAAATGAATGTTATTGGTTTTTTATTAATGACTTAAAGTCATTTTTAATGACTTCCAGACAGGATTCACTCTGTAAGTCCTGAGTTCAAATTCTGCCTTTGACACTTACTAGCTATGTGGCTTCAGGCAAAACATTTAACTTTATTACCTGTAAATTAAGGATAATAATACCTGTAGTAGCTAGCTGAAAGAGTTGTTGTGAGGTCCAAATGAGATGATGGACATAAAGTGCTTTACTAACCTTACAACACTCTATCCACATTCATTATAGTTGTTATTGTTATTAGGAAATATGTCCAGAGAGGAAACTTACACCACGCAACCAGAAAGGTCACATAGCAGTCACATAGCAGTCAGGACTTAATACTATGTCTCCAGCTCATGGATACTTTCTATCTGGCAGCTTCCCTTTAGGGGAGGAAAAAAAGATGAATGAATTTCCTTTTAGCTTTTAGACTAGAGAAACTGATTTCCCTTGAAAGGCAGTATTTTTGACAGCTTGATATGACAAATCAAGTTGATATTTTAAAATGAAATAAATAAAAATAACAACTGTCTAGTTTTCCTCTTATCTGTCAGTTAATGAATCAGAATCCTAAAGGCTTCCCATCTATTATTCGGTGGAAAACAAAAAGGTTTTGTAATGAAAAAGTAACTTAAAGCAGTTCAAATGTTACAGTTTTCGATGTGTATTAAATATTCAGGCAGGTAGATTTTCTGTCATACTTCATCTCTATTTCAACAGACAAAGGTCAAATTTGCATCTTTCAGCAAGAACTGTTTTTTTTAATGTAATTTATTTTTTTAGCATCCATCCCTTTAAGAGGAAACATGGTTCAGTTGGAGGAGTGCTAGCCTAAGAATCAGGAAACCTAGAATTTTATCCCTGCTATCCCAGGGACCTTTGGCAAGACATTTCACAATTCAAGGCTTCTATGCCTTCATCTCCAATGTAAAAATATTGCAGATCATCTCTAAATTCCATTATGGTTCTAACATTCTAGGTACTAGGGTCCCTTCCTGTTCTAATATTGCAGGCTATATCCTTTCATCTCTGACATTCTATTCTATGTTTTCAGGTAGCTTCCAGTTATTAAAATTTATATTCTGTAATCTAATCTTCCTTCTGTCTCTGACATCCTATATTCTAATATTCCTTCCAGGTCTAACCTTCTATGTACTTATGTTTGGGTTTCCTCAAAGATACTGATCTTTGATATGGAAAGCCTTCTGAGTATTTCTGTAATCCAGTTCTTAACCTTGATTCATTAACTAATGGATTTGTCTACATGTACATATGTATGTGTGTGTAATGTGCATATATTTGATAATTTTATTTAAATATAATTGGTTTCCTTTGCAATCCTTTGTATTTTATGCCTTTAAAAACATTGTTCTTTTGTCCATATGACAAAAACATTAAGAACCCCTTTTCTAATCAATGTGTCTTTTTGCTTTTCCCTTTCATTAAATTAGGCAAGGTTGAATGCCTTTTTTCAATGTCTTGCAAAAATATAAAAATAAAATAAAACAGATTTTATCAGTACTCCTGATATTGCTACATTTAATTTTCTTCCTTATAATCAATAGAAATCCTGAATATTTCTACTCTGAACTGTTGATCAGTCAATCTTTGATCGAATAATTGATTTGTTTTTAAGTTCAGTTCCTTATGAGGAGTGAATAGCATAAGTGACCTTGGTTTTCATACACCAAGTAGAGAGTTTTGGTTTGTTAGTTGTTTTTTTTTTCCACTCACTAGGCCAAGCAGTCTCTGAAGTATCCTAATCAGCCATCCTAAAACTGTTCCAACATTTTTGGTGATTAATGGGTTGTGATTTTTTTAACTTACACGTCTGTGTATGTGTGTATGTGTGTCTGTTTGTGTGTGTGTGTGTGTGTGTGTGTGTTGTATCCCCCAACCAATGAGGAGAATAGCAGCTCAGGCACCCAGAACTTAATAGGAGACAAAATCCAAAAAAGGGAGCCACTAATAAAATTCATTACCTCAAATATCTATACACAAACACCTACCATTTAAGTAACAAACAAGAGGAAAAAGAGGTCCCACCTGAAGCATACAAATTGGACCACAAAGTATCGCTAAAACTTAATAGAAAGAAATCCAAGCCTGGACTATAGATTTAGATAAGTAGACATTATTCGAAAGAAACAAGGCAAGGGAGGGAAGGGAGAGGATTATATATTAAGAAAATATGTGAAGAAATCCAGGAGGTATGGTGGGGAGCATGAAGAGGGGATATTTGAGTAAAGGATAATAGAAAGAGAATGAGAAATCGTTATGTAATTGGAATATTCCATAAATATAAACCATAGAGAAAGAAAGAGGAAATAGATAAGATGTTTTGGGAAGAGATCACAAGTGTAGCATAGGGACATGATATCTTAGTGATGGGAGCTTCAGTAATTCCTGAGCTACTGTCAGTGATTTGAAAAATCATGGAAAACTGGAGATACCTGAAGATTAGAGAAATTAAAATGTCCTGATTTTCCAAAAATGGGGAGAGAATAAGGATAGTAAACTATAAGCCAGTGGACTTGCAGAAATTCTAGATTGGATCATTAAAGAGATGGTTGTGATACTGTTTGAAAGTGAATCAGTAATTGCCAGTAGCCAATGTGATTTCATCAAGAACAGGTCATGCCAGATTAGACTCATTTCCTTTTCTGACAAGATTACTTACATGAGTAGATGAAGAAAATACCATGAATATGGTTTATCTATATTAGTATCTCATACTTTTCTTGCAGATGAGATGGAGCAATATAAACTATACGATAGTATAATTAGATGAATTCAGAGCTCATGGAATAACCAAGACTCAAAGAATAATTGTTAATGGTTTAATGTCATCATGTTAGGAGGTCTCCAGTGGAGTGCCTCAGGGATATGTGCTAGCTCTGTGCTGTTTAACATATTTATCAATGACTTAGAAATAAGCATAGATGACATGCGGCTTAAATAGGCAGATGACACAGTGCTAGGAGGATTAGCTAACCCACTGGACAATAAATTTAAGATTAATAAGCTAGAGCTTTGGGACTTAATAAGATGAAATTCAGTAGAGATAAATATAAAGGCTTACAAGTAGATGTAAAAAAAAAATCAGCTTCCCAAATACAAGAGGAAGAAGGCTTGGTTATATTCCAGTTGTTCTAGACATATGTTTCTCTTATTGGACTGCAAGCTCAGTGTGATATAGCGGGCAAAGGGTTATTATTATTTCATGTTATGTTGTGAGAATTGGCTTCTGGAAAAGGTGGGGGATGTTTCCACTATGCTCTGCCCTCTGGAGTTTTTTTGTTCAGTTCTGGGTGCCATAGTTAAAAAAATGAATCCAAACTTCATAGAACAAATCCCCTTAATAAAAGGGTGGCTGCTCAAGAGTGTCCAGATAAAGAAAACCAAGAAGGTAAAAGACCTTGAGTCTATGTAATATAAGAATTAGTTGAAGGAACTGGAGATGTTTAGCCTAGAGATGAGAAGTGTCAGGGGATATGAGAGTTGTCTTCAAGTATTTGACAAGCTATCAGGAGGAGAAGGGATTATACTCATCTATGTATCCATCTCCAGAGAGGAGACTCGGGGACAATGTGTGGAAATGAGACAAAATTCAGGGTAAATATGATGGAAAAGAAAAAAACCCTCTCTTAGAGCTATCTAAAAGTGGTGAGTTTCTCTTCCATGGATGTCGTTAAGCAGAGGCTAGCTGACATCTTTTCTGGTGTATCATACTGGTGATGTATGTCTTATGTGTAATGGACTGCATAGCTCCTGAGATTCCTCCTACCTCTCAAAGCTTATGACTTGGTCTAGTCTATGACTTACTATCTGTTCCAGGCTCATCCATTCACTGGCTATATGCTATTGGGTTTCTACAAAAGTTTTCCCCCAACACCTCACTCAAGGTGAGAAAAGCGTGAAGTGTGGTCTCACGATAGAAACCATTACTGTTTTCTGAAGACCATCCTAGGTCAGATAGGGGAGCCCCATAAATTGGCCACAGGGCAATTTATCGTGCAGCCAAAGAACCCCCTTAGAGACCATCTGCTAAGGTATATATAATTTTCACCAGTGAAGAGAGGACTCACTACAATGAAATAACAGATCCTTCAAGGATGGATTTATTGAAGTGATTTTGGACAAGTTATTTTACTTCTGGAAGCCTGTTTCTTCAGCTGTCAGAAAAGGTTATAATCAACTTACTTATCTTACAAGACTGTTCTAAGACTGAAGAGATATCTCTGTTTAAGACACTCTGTGACCATATTGCTCTATCTAAATGTTTACTCTTATTCTTGTTATTATTAAATATCATATATTAACTATTATACATGGTATCCCAAAAGTTTTAGTGCAGTAAAATTGCAGTAAAGTAAAAGCTTTAACCTGCATTTAACCTTTTGGGGTACCCTGTAGTATTATTATTAGGCCCTTTGTTGTTATATCGTTATATATTATTTTTTTAAAAATGATTCCTGGAAATGTCCAAAAGTTGTTATCCACTTTAGGACATCTCCCTGAATATTTATACTGTATATTTTCCCCAGTAAATGTGTTTGGATTGAGTAAACAAACCTAACCTATGCCTGTTCTTCCTATTAGGCAACAACAGCAAATCGGACTAAATACTACGTATCTTATCGACGCAATGAATTTGTTCTGATGAAGCTACCAAAGTATGCACTGCCCAAGGTAAATATGATGCTGTACTCATTCCTTCTGATGCTCAGGCTGGTTGGTGGTTTGAATTATGGTAATTATAACTCCTAAGGCCATCGTACATGAAAAAATTTTATATACACATGATGATTTTTCTTTTGTGGAGGATGGTGAGCTCTGTAGCTTGTCTGCCAAGACAGAAGAAATAAACATGGTGAAAATTTGGAACTCAAAATCTTGTGGAAGTAAATGTTGAAAACTAAACATAAATAAATAAATAAATAGATAGATAGATAGATAGATAGATAGATAGATAGATAGATAAATGAACAAACGAATAAATAAATGAGCATATAAATGAATGAATGCACAAATAAACAAATAATTAAGTAGATAGGTGAACAGGTAAATAAGTACATAAATGAATGAATAAGTAAATAAATAAACAAATAAGTGAAAAAGAAATAAACTTGGCACCAACAACTGCTTTGGAGATGGTATCATTAGGAAATGGAGACAGGAAGCAGCAGTAAAGTCTTCTCTCCACCAGTGGAGGTGTGTGCAATTAGATGGAGTAGGGCAATTACAAAAAGTCAAGTGTTGGCTCTGTCTAAGCAAGAACTTCCTAACAGACAAGTCCAATTATGAAATGGGTCATTTATTGAACCAATGAGGTTCCTGTTTCCGAGGTAGAATGACCTCTTGCATAGGTTATTATAAAGGGGAAGCATACTTGAGCGAAAGATTGAATGATAAGTTAGCAGTCTTGTCCAAGCAATGACCTCACTACCTCAATAAATAACAAAGGCAGTACTTGATTCTGAAGTTCCATCATTTCATTATGTGTAGGTGGTACCCCCAACTGACATACATTAGAGCTGCTACACACCTGAGCAGATGGTTTTCAAGATCTGTTACGGCTAAAATCTCATGTCCTAGTAAGGAACTCTCTTGTGATAAACCTCCCTGACATTGGCTAGGATGGTCCTTAGACAGCATGCATGCTGACAATCACTACATTTGAAGCTTTTCTAGCTTAGTAAGACTTACCAGGCATTGCTTGGCTCACAGTGGACAATCATTTTAAAGAGCTCTCCAATTAATGCTTTTTTGTGGGGATTGAAAAACTCTATCATGCTATTTCGAAAAAGTAGAAAACCAAAACTTAAGAAATCCAACTTCTACTCTCAACCTTGCCACTGACTTTATCATCTCATATTCCCTCTCTAAATTTCAATTTTGTAAACTTTAAAACATAGGATCTGAACTAGATGATCTCTAAGTTTCTTCAGTTACAGGTAGAAGTAAATAAATGTATTTCAAGTGGATTACACATCACAGAAGTTCTAGCCCTTCACACAGATCTTACTTCTTCCTGCCAAGCTATCTATTTTTTTATTGATTCCCCAGTGATCTTTCTTCCCCTTTGTGCTTATTTCAATTCTACATAGCTTTTGTGAAGTCTAGATCATATTTCTTCTGTTCAATATAGTATTCCCAGTCTAATCCCAATCATATTAATCTTCTCTTCTGTATCATTTCATTACTTGTGAAAACTCAGCTTGGCCATAATTATTTACATATATACACAGATAATATGTGTATATGTATGTTTACATGTGTGTCTGTGTATATACATGTATGTATACAGATATATGTATATATGTGTGTATACATACATGTATACACACATGTATGTGCATATGAATGTATGTGTGTATGTAGATATGTAGGTACTGCTTGGGGCCTCTCTGTTAGCATTTCACTTGATTTTCACACAATATTTAATGTGAACTATTGACAGGTAGTTTTTTAAACTACCTTTTAAGGATCACACCCACATTTATTTCATAAAAGGTTAACGACATTTTTTCTATTTTTTTAATAGTTTAGCTAGCACTATACCTCCAAGTGTTGAATAGAATTCACTCATAAATCCAGATGGATCAGGATTTGTTTTTGTTTTCTTTGGGATCTCATTTATGTTTTACTTGATTTCTCTTTCTGAGGTTTCTTAGAGTTATTATTCCTGGTTTATTGATACAGATATTTTAGATTTTTAAATATTCACCCATTGTATCCTAGTTATAAATTTTATTATTTTAAAGCTAAGTATATTCATTTCTGGAATTAACATTTTTTAATGTGGCAGGTTTTTTTTTAAATGTCTCTTTTTTTAAGAAAAAAGTCAGATGAGAAAATGACTTATCAATTAATTGGTCTCTAAGAGCTTTGAGTTTTATTTATTAGCTGCATTTTTATAGCTATTATTTTTCATTGTATTGACCTTTTCTTGATTTCCAAAATTTCTAACTGTGTTTCTTTCGGTATTACTAATGTGTTGATTTCTATAGTTTTTAAAAAAATAAATTATCAATATACTAACATGTCTCTTTCCTCTTTTATAAATATTCTTGTTCATCTATGTGTATATATATGGCTACATGAATATTTGTATTTACTTCTAACTTTACATATCTATTTCCTCTGAAGATTGCTATGATTATGTCCCACACATTTTTGTTATGTTGTACTTTATACCGGTAGGATATGCTTTTCTTAAGCAAACTCTATGTCTTCTCTAATCCATTCATTTAGGAAAACCTTATTTAGTCTCTAGTTATGTCTTTGTTCATAATCCCCTTATTGATTACAATTTTATTATTTTATCATCTATAATGTATGAACTTACTATTTCTAGCATTCTTGATTTACTTTTCAGTTCTTTTTGCCCTTTACACATGTGATGAATATTTGTGATTGTATCACATAGTACAGAAAAAATAGGCACATGCCTTACTATCTTCATTCAATAATCATCATTTGTAGGCCATATGTAGTTTTTTCTTAATATTTTTTCAGAACTTTAGTTCCCCTCTTGTTTAACTTTCTTAGATTTTCTGAAATCTGAAAAGGCACACTCAAGTCAGAAACAATTATTATCTTACTATCTAGATCTTCATAGAATTCAATTAATTTTAGTCTTCTGTTTTTAGATTCTTATGACACTCATCGCATTCATATTCAACATTGATACTATTTCATTTTGCTGCCTTTGAGCGAGATGTAACTTGCTGTTTATCTCTCATTAATGTCTAATTTTATTGCTACCTTCCATGAGATAATTGTTGTAATCCCTGTTTTTTTGGAGTCAGCTGAGACGGAATGCATTCTGTTATAGACCCTCATTTTTGTATGAATCTTTACATTTTAACTTTCTAAATTATTATCTTTTATTATTATATTCTTATTTGATTCTTTCTTTTCTTTCTTGTTGCTCAAGCATAATCTAATTTGATTCTGACTGAAATTCTTTTTTATGTTACCCTTCCCTTTCTGGATATTTGCTGGTGAGCTCAGGTTTTAACCAGGCCACCAGATCCATGGCCAGCCTTCATCCAGCCTTTCCAGCATCTTGCCCTTTCCAATTCAATCAAGTAATGGTCCTTTATATTTCATAAAGTATTTCTTTTCACTTGGTTAACATAATACCTCATTGCCTCCTGTTTTTACCCCCTGATTTCTATGATTATATTAACTTGGGGGAGGAGAGAATCAACACCAACCATTACCCATACACTACTAGTAATATAATTTCATAAGCACCTTCCTGAAATGAGTCTCTATCATTTGGTTTTATTTTTCTGTCTATTATTCTTTCACTACAGCTACTTCTTAATCTAGTATTCTTAGTGCACTGACCTATCTTAGGAGAAATTCATTATATTTTTATTCTTCTTTCCTTTGCACGTATTTCTCATTGTAATCTCCATTCAACATCATTGATCCACTCAGTCTTTGAAATAAACATTAAGTAAAATAACATTGGGGCATTTAATACTAAAGAATAATATTTGTACGTATGTAGTCAGAAATATATTGTTCTTAATCTTACACTCAGGGGAATCAAAACCACCATGGGCTACAAATTGACATTATTATTAGATTATCAGGAACCATTTCAGTCACATCTTGGTGAGTGTGGAAAATGATTTTACAACACGATTTTTAAAATTATTTGGGTAGGAGTCTGGGATTCAGATATTGGCTCTGTATTCTTACTAGCTATGTAGCTATATATAAAAAAATTACTGGGGCAGCTAGGTGGAGCAGTGGGTAGAGTACCAGCTCTGAAGTGAGGAAGACCTGAGTTCAAACCCAGCCTCAGACCAAACACATGACACTTACTAGCTGTGTGACCCTGAGCAAGTCACTTAACCCCAATTGCCTAAAAAAAAAATAACCTTACCTCCCTCAGCCTCAGTTTCCTCTTCTGTGAAATGGAAACAAGGATACTTGCATTGCCTACCTCAGAGGATTATTATGTGGAAAGTGCTGGTGACCTTGGCGATGCTATTAAAATCTGAATTCTTATTACAGCAGAGTAGTGGTGCTTGTTGTTGAGTTGTGATTGTTTTATAAATATCCTTCCCATATCCTTAGTAGAACCAAGTAAAGATTAGAAATCAGGTTCTCTAACCTTAAATCCTTCATACCATACTTCTCTTTGTGTGCTCTGCAAGAAGGAATGGAGGGGGGGAAAATCAAGGTTTCAGAGTTAAGTTTATTTTTTTTTTTCATTTTCTACTGTCTGTTGCTTTTGTTTATGTGACTCAGAATCTTTCACTTTATTGGACATTTGACAATATATGTAAGGCACATGGAGATGAAATTAGGACTCTGTTCAATGTTGTTATGCACCTACACAGTTCTCTGTGAATGCTGACAATATAATTTTCTCTTAGAGCCAGCCATTTTTTCTTGTAAACTCTATTTGAGAGTAGCAGAGAATGCATCGATTACAATATGAGAGTTTTATCCTTGTTTGGGTTACAAAAAAACAATTCTTCAGTTGTGTCTAACACTTCATGGTTTACAGGGTCCTTAGCTCATTTGACCTTCAAAAATCCTGTGACATAAGTAATACGTTGTTCAATCATGTCTGACTCTTTGTGATCCCATGGACTATACTGTCCATGGGGTTTTCTGAGCAAAGATATTGGAGTGGTTTGCCATTTCCTTTTCTGGTAGAA